AATTATATGAACAAACAACTCCTATGTCTAAAGCATATATTATCCAGTTTAAACAGTAGGGGGCTGGAATAGATGCAAAATGGACATCTCTTAAGGTGATTTTGAGATCAAGTATAAATGGTTACTGAAATTAATTAGTGAAAAGAAGCATGTAAAGTTGATAAATTTCGTATTTATCAAATTGACCCAAAAATCTTAGTAAGAGGGGAAAATAAGCTGTTGTAGCAAAAAATGATTCCACCCTCTAAGCTCCCCTGCCCCTGCTTATGCTGCCCTAACAGAATATCACAGATGGGGTGGCTTAAACCTCAGACATGAGTGTCAGGTCTGGAGGCTGGAAATCCAAAACCAAGATGTGTTAGGGTTAGTATCTGCTGAGGCCTTTCTTACTGGTTTGCATATGGCAGCTCACTGTGGCCTCATCTAGTCCATGTGTACAGGAAGAGACAGAAATTATCTCCTTTTCTTATAAAGTTAACTGTCCCAACAGGTTAGGACCCTACCCTTATCACATCATTTCACCTTAATGACCTCCTGAGCTGTATCTCCATAATATAGTCACTTTGAAGGTTGAAGCATCAGCATATGGACCTGAGAGGAATACAGTTTAATCTACAATTTCCCCAAGTCCTATGAAGTATTTATTTGTATAATAAGTCACAATAACACAACATAAAAGCAAGTTCAATGTTAGTAAGATATCTTTTTTCTGTTAAGGGTTTGTGGGTAGTTGTTGCAGGTGATCTCAGCTGGTGCTAGCTGTGCTTGGGTCCAGGCTGAATGGCAGAGTTAGGATAAAAATATCTCGTTTTGGATTGGGGCAAAGGATAACAGAGAAAAGGTTGGGGGCAGGGTATGCTCTTTTCATGACAGTGAAGGAAAGTGAAGACAAAGTTCAACCACATAAATGTGTTTAAAGATTCTGCTTGCATTATGACTACCAATATCCCATTAGCCCAAACAAATTGCATGGTCAAGCCTAAAGCCAAAAAGGCAGAAGAGTCAACTTCACCCATCGCTGAGACCTTGCAAGGATGAGAATTTAATAATTCTGCATCAGGATGAAGGGTTGGGAACAATTATCCATTCAGCCACAGGATATGCACTGGACTTTTAACTGTTCGAGATAAGCCTTAGTTGGCATTGGAAGACCTCTCTTTTTCTGTAGTGGTTCATGTGACATGTGGAGAGTGGAGACTGATGCTGCCTCCACACTACAAGTCGTCATTCCTCCATGTTGTGAGTTTGCCTCGTGTGCTGCTGACATCGGTCTCCTCTTGGTTTCTGAGTCTTAGAACTCGATGCCATTTGAAGATTCAAGTTAATTGTTCTTTCGCTCTATAACCTTGAGCCAACTGAAACATGCCCGCAGTGTTCTGGTGTGAATTTTATGTAGTAGTAGGTCTATTAGTCATGAAGCAACCCTAGATCCAAGAATAAAAGTTTTCCCACTATTCCCTCCTTTGAACTTATTTACCTAATATTAGGTATCACCCATAGAGAACTCCTTGCTTTCCTGCTGCTCATAATTCATCAAGGGGAGGAGAAGGGCCTAGAATGAAACAGTGAGAAAAGGCCCTGGGACAGGAAAGCAATTATTAGCAAACTGGTGGCCACTGAAGACTCCAGGCAGTTGAGAGATTTGCTATCCAAGAGATACTGAAGGTATCTTGGGCAGCAATTAAGACTGAAGAAAATCAGGCCCACAAATATAGAAGAGAGGGTCTAACTCCACTCACTCATTCATTCAATAGACATTTATTCAGTGTTGCCTTGTGCCAGGTATATTATTCTATGTATTGGAGTAAAACGATTAACGAAATGGACATATTTCTGCCCACATGGATCTTGTGTTTATGCTGGTACAAGCAATAAACAAATTAAGAAAATTATGGTGTGGTAAAAGATAACAAAATGGCAAGGGGAAAAATTAATAAAACAAAGAGGCTAAGGCATGCTAAGTGAGATGCAGTATAATTTCGGAAAAGATAGCCAAGGTAAGTGACATTTGAGTAAAGATGAGGCGAGGGGGACTATTGGGCCACTGTGTTCTGCACGGAGTGACACCAGCCAGTGCAGGCTCACAGTGATGAGTGCTGGGAGATGGATGTTGAAGAAGAGTATAAAGCCAGTGTGGGGAAGGTGAAGGATGAGGCTAGGCAGGTGCTGGGGCTGGAAGTGAAAGGAAGGGATGATCATGCAGGACTTTTAAACCAATACAGTGCCTTAAGTGTTCACCCAGGGAGATGAGCAGTCATTGTAGTGTTTAAACAGAGGAGAGGCATGTTGTAATCCACCTTTACAGCAGCAGCTGGGCTACTGTGTTGAACACAGGCAGGAGGGAAGAAGGAACATAATTCTATGTGAGCCTAAGAAAACAGTCAGAGGTAATAGAAGCTGACTTTTCTAACTCACTCACTCTAATTGACAATTTACCACTGATTTTGGCCGCCATTGTGGTCCTAGCAGATACCAGAGATATTTATACTGGGGAATTCCTATGTGAAATAAAATATCAGAATCGATGGCATCCCAGATTCCTATGTGTAGTGAGTCTGATTCTATAGTATGCATCAACCTCAGTCTTCCCTAAGTAGAATGCAAGCTCCGTGAGGGTGGGGAGTTTTGTGTGGCCTGTTCATTGTGCCATTCCCAGTGCCTAGAGCAGTGGCGGCATATAGAAACCAGTCAGCAAATGTTTGCCAGATGCACAGATGTCTCCAGGAGACTTGCTGCAGGATCTTGAGCAAGACTATTTTATGCACCTCACAGAATAAAAACTGGGGGTGGATGGCATTGATGATCATTCTAGTTTGGTCAGTCTTTGGTTCCCATTTCAAACTCTAAGCTACTGTTTCTAAAGGGCTTTGAGAAAGGGCTTGTATGGAGAATCCTGATAAGTGAAGAATTATGATAACCTTGGACTGGGAACCAGGCCAGCCTCTGGAAATAAATGTGCATTGTTCTCTCGGTGTGCACATGGTTCCAATTCCAATGGAGGAGGTCTCACCAGAAGCTGAGAGTTTAAGGCACCAAGAATCACCCAAGCACCGTACCTTTGCTTCACCCAAATGCTCACAGGTCCCTGAAGCTCTCTTGGGAACCTCATTAGTAATAGCAGCAGAGACTCCATTTGAGGATATAGAAAATACATTTTTTAATCTTGATTAAGTTCACATATGACTACATTGACAATTCTTTAAACAAATGGTTCCATTAAGTCACAGCATTACCACTTGTCCCCAGATGACCAAGAAGCAGTGATTTCACGTCCCTCTGAGGTTTAGCAGGGCTGTCAGCATCAACAGGATTGTTGATGGGGACCAGATTTGCTATCAGATAAGCCAAGGAGACATGTTGTCATGTTTATTGGATGCAGAATCAAATACAAAATGATACACAATGGATAACTGCAATGAAATTGCTCTGCGCTTAGCTCTAGTTCCTTTCAGAGGAAGAAGAGTTTTCAGTATCAAGAAGGTTGCAAACACATGTGTCTTCCATGAAGCCATCTGTAAGTTACTTTCATTATATATTAAAAGGAGTAGAGCTTAGCTTCAATGTAACCTAGGAGGAAAAAAACAGAACAAAGTCTGGATATTGGTTGTCAAGCTCCTGTTAGCTATTATTTCACTTAGCTTTGCTATTACTACTAGGAGGTAGGGACCACTGAAGCCCGCCATTTATAAGAAAAGAAAATTGAAGCCTAGAGAAAGTTACATGATTGTCCAGTGGTCATATACCTAGTAGAGAGCAAAGACAGTTCTCAAACCCATAACTGCTCTTCATTCAAAATATGGAATATTGCAGTGTATACTCCAAAAGGAAACCCAAACTCAATATTTCCTGATCCTATGAACTTAGGGTCAAGGAGAGAGAAGAAAGGTGGAGGGTGTGATAAAATAAAATGAGGTGCAATGGAATCGCAGCACCCTGACACTTCAAATCCATAGGTCCAGGGAGGCTCAGAGTATGGACTGTATCCTGGAGATATGTGGACATCTGTCCTTCCATCAGCTGTGCAAGGAAGTCACCTTTATCCTGGAGCTATTAGCTGCTCAGGCCTGAAGGTCCCTGCGGCGGCGGCCAAAGGCTTCAGAACCCACGTTGGTGGACACAAAGTTGTCCTTCACCACGCCCCCAGATCTGCTCAGCAAGCCCGCCAGCCGGTGGGTCACACAGGTGGCAGTGTTGCAGGATCTCTTCTGGGCAGTGAGGCTGATAGGCAGAGTGGAGAGAGAAGAGGCCTGTGAGGGCTGGGGCGGTGCTTGTCCCATGGGACTATCATGGTGCTCTGAGAAGTACCAATTAACTTTTTTTTCCTCCTGAACACAATTATCAGAACAGACAGTCACAAAGCCATTAGAGGAAAGACTGTGATCCTTTCCCACAGACATTACCAGAAGTATCAGAAAACCCAAAGGTGGCTTTGGGTGACTGGCCATGGAACACAGGGCTGCAGCAGCCACACTTTCCCAAAAAATAAGTCAGCAAATGCACCTAGAGTGAATTTTGATGCCACCTCCACTCCCATTCACAAGCACTGCAGGATCCATGTCCCAGTCAGACACAGTGCCCCTTCCTAGTAAAATGAAGACCCCCACCAGTCTTACCTGGAAGAAGAGTGGGGTTTGGTGCATCCAGTCCCAGAAGTGCTTACCTGTTGCTTAGCACCTGGTTCTTGCTTTGTGAACTGGGTCATGGGCACCACTCACCACACCATATGTCCAGTTACCCCACGGCTAAGGCTACTTCTAACCACAGGTCCTGAACTCCATGAAGCCTGAGATGTGGGCTAGAGCAACGACCACCACGGCTCAGGTCTTTTTAGAAAAATAATTTTATTCCCCAAATGACCAGCACATTCAGAAGGAAGACTGAGAAGCTCTGTTATGAAATGCTCAGAGGCTCAGAGGGTCGCCTTGCTCTCTGAGGGCTTCCTGGATGATGCTCTTTCAGCCTGTAAGTCCTCTTTCTCTTCACCCATCTGGGATTCCAGACATCATCCTCTGCCACAGGAAAGCAACCAGTAACAGCCCGAAGAGCAACCAGAGAGGAACCACATGCATCAAGTTATAGGAAGAAAGCAAGAAAGGACATTAGAAAGGAGAGGGGGCGCTTAGTTGCCAACGTGAGAGCGGTGATCTGTCTGCAAGTCCTTGGCCACATCCCTTTTCTTTCCAGGTGCTCCAACCCCAATAGCAGTTTGGGGGAAGGTGTGAAACTTGTTGAGGTCCTGTGTGTACGTGCCCAGCATGCAGGTACTCAGATTCCCACACCGTTTGGATCTGGGGTTGTCCAGGCTGCAGGGAAAAGACATGCCAGACAGTACCATGCACCAGTGGCTGCCCTTGTGGGCAGTCAGCAGGTTCGACCAGGCAGGGGGACTAGGAGTTGGGGCAGGAAGTGGTTGGAGGGCAGCTCACACATGCTCCACTGGGAAGGCTCAGAGGTGCGGTGAGCCAGGACAGTGTGGGAAGGGCACTGGGAAAGGGTGACTTTCTGGCATTCCACATGCTGTTCATTCCTTCATGCTCCACGGGGGGCTTCTGAGGGTGGATGCGGGGCAGCACATGCTTCTCCCAAGGCAGTGCTGGAGCCAGGCCAGGACTGGTCTGTTTCTAGGCTCGGAGCACACAGGGAGGTCGGGATGGGGAGGAGAGATCTCCCTGGCCCTGTGACCACATGCAGATTTCTGCAGAGGCCCCCAGACCTCATATTTTACCTTTGCCAGTCTTAACTCATCCTATGCTGGGAAGTCTCCCAGTATCACCAGACAATTGCAATTTCCACAATAAGTGATAGCACACCTTCCCTAATTGCTTTCAGAAATAAATCTTTAAATATGATTTAACCACAGTGTCTCCAGGTGACTTCTGTCTTCAGTGGAGCCTGAGAATAGCTGGGCCCCATGTCCTGCCAAACAACACAGTCAGCTGACTAGTGTGTCCTCACCTACCTCTTGAGTCCTGCCTTCCTGGGCATATGCAGGGCAGGATAAGAAGCCTTACCTGGAGTCCTCGGCCTCCTGCTCCTCCTGCTCCAGCTCCCTGGCCTTCATCTGCAGGTAGTCCTGCACCACTGCAGCCAGCAGGAGGCGTGCTTCCTCCTCACTGAGGGTGGCCAGGTCTGGACGGTTCTCCAAGGTTGACCTGTGGAGGGGAAGCAACCAGTGCAGGTGTTGACTCCCTCCCTGCCTGACTTCTCTCTGGGTAGATAGGCAGGTTTCTTGGACTCTGCTACTTCTCCTGGAGGCTTGGGCCAATGTCCAGAGCCAGTTTGTACAGGCTTATGACAACAAGTGGTTAAATTTTTAGGAATCTTGTAAGCTGTGTTAAGTGCAGCCATTATTGAATAATTAAATAGTAAAACAGTGTTGAGTCTGACAAGGGGGTTCATTTTAATAAATATAATTTATAAATAAGTGAGAAATAGGTCCACAGATTATAAATTAGTAACAAATTTATTGGCAAGGTTGTTAGCAGATTAGCATGAAATTCATTTCTCATATGAGGGCTGAATTGGGTAAATAGGTTGTCTATTGATACTAAAGTTGGAGAAAAGCGACCGGGGCACTTTGTGCATTAATGATCTACATAGAATTTACAATGCAGTCCTGTACAGTGTCACTATTTGTAAATTGTGCCTTCCTCTTTATATCAGAAAAAGTTTATGATGAACTTAGATGTGTATATCTACACACTCACATGTATGTCCCTCAAAAGAGAGCTGATTTCTAACATTCAGTGCATTACAGTGAACAGGCTGTGGGACCCCAGGTGCAGTAAAGCCTCCAGCCTTCGGCTGACTTACCTGAAAGGCACTGCACCCAGGCTGTCTGTCTGGTACAGGAGCAGGATGCTGACAGCCAGGAAAAGAGAGAACTTCTGGAAGCCCATGATGCCTTCCTGCAAGGGAAGAATGACATCATCTTTTGTGCCAGAAGAAAGTTCTGTGAGTCCAGACAGGACCTTCCTGTGCTTCTGCCCGCCACCCACCCCTGGCTTTGTGCGTCATACCGGCCACTATATTTATCTTCACTTTTGCTTCTTCATAGACAAAGTGAACTCCTGGAGGTCCCAAGGGCATGTAGTGCATATGGTTTGGAAAGGGCCTTAACGTGACAGATGGGGGTTGGGGGTGAGTGTCTCAGCTCCACAGGCAAATAAACCTGTTGGTTAAGTCTTGAGGAACCCTGGGATCCTCCTGTCTCAACATCTACCTTCATAAGGAAACCTAGAGCTGTGGGCCCTTGGTAGGACTTTTGTGGACACCCAGGGATGAGGGGAAGAGAGCCCCTTAGAGAGGAACTTCCAAGGCTCTGGGCTGTAGTGCTCAGCAGCTCCACCCTCTGGCAACTCAGTCTCCAGTAAGAACCAGCAAGATAGGACCCAAGACTCCCAGAGTCGGGAGGGGCTCACTATTAAGGGCCTCAAGCGTTCAGTGGTGGAGCTCGTTCGTTCGGCGTACCTTCGCGCTTGGCCCGGGCTCTGAACCGATTTCTCGGGAAACCTGAACCCTGGACGCAGCACCTAAGGAGGGCTACTCCGGCGTCCCGCTGTTGCGCGATGCGCAGGGAGCTGAGCGTCGGGAGCTTGCGCTACCCAGGTGTGCTGCGGAAGAGCCCAAGAGGGCGCTCGGGAACCGCAGCTGTCCGGGTCTACCTGGAGCACTGCTCTGGCACGAACCACCGCTAACAGAGACAGCAGTGGGCAGAGACGGCAGGGAGAGAACTAAGGTTGGCTAAGGGAGACAGAGGGAGGGAGGGAGAGGGAAGTGGAAGGCGCTGAGCGGGAACCGAGGCTCACCTGGGCAGCGGCGGCTCGAGGCAGGCTGCGGCGTCGGGCTGGGGCCGGCGGAAGCTGCGGTGACCCGGACACTGGAGCTGGGCAGTGACTCCGGTGCCTCCCAGCTCCAGCTGCGGCTCTTATTCCCGCCGCTGTGAGTCGGGAGGGGTCTCCGAGCGCCGGGCAGCCAATGGATGGAGGGGTCCCGTGCCCCAGCTGGATTGCGTCACCCCGTGCTCCCAGAACCCGAGCCTCTAGCAGGACGACACCATTTAAATTTGAATTGAGGTCTTTGATGGAGGTGGTGGTGGTTGGGGTGGGGGGTGACGATCAACGAGAAACATCTTAAAGAGAGCGGGAATTTGAGGGCCTTTTGACGTCAAGGTAGATTTTCTCTCCTTCCCGCTTGGCTTTGAACCTTTGCCCTCCCCAACCACAACTTCCCGATCTTGAAGAGCAGGGTCCAGGGCGGTGTGCACTCCTGGTTCCTGCAAATCTGACCCTAGAAGCCCCCACAAGCCAGTGTTGAGGTCTTAGTGCGCCTCGGAGATGGATTCTTGGACAGAGAGGCTCCTGACTGGCACCGTAGCAGCTCAGAGGGACGAGGCTCCGGATAAGAAGGAGTTGTAGCTGGGCACAAG